TGGAAGCAGCAGTTTGTTTAAAAGAATGGAAGGGATGACTTGGGCTTTCATGCGCCCACAGGGCTTTGCCAGGGACAGGCCAGTCTATGGCTTCCCAAAGTCTTTGAGAGCACCTATCTTTCGCTGAAAGACCAAGAGGGACAAGATGACAGTGAGCCCTGCATGGAGGGAGGGGCCAGTGTGGAGACACACCCACCCCTTAAACCACTGTTCAGGTCAATAGGAAACAGATCAACAGAGGGGAAGAGACAGCCTCAGCCCAGCCGAGCACTTGTTCCTATCATGGGGGGCCCAGCCTTATCTGACTGGAGCCCTCCCCGTTCCTCAGTTACAGCTGACCAGCAGGCTTCCTGGAAGCCAGGGCCGTGGAGGTATTCTGTGTGAGAGGTAGCACCCTCGGATCCTTCCTTCCCAGGGTGCACTCCTCCCAGCTCCTGCTGAGGGACTGGCAGATGGCATCTTCAGGCTGGGCTGCCCCAGCTCCCGGTGCCGGGGAAGCATCCGAGACACATGCCCACATAAGTACTTGGCACCCTAGGGATTAGTGCTATCCTTGCAGCAACCTGGGGCCATCGTTCCCATCTTTAGAGATAGGAAACCTACACAGGAAATGAAACCTCCTACTCTCAAGAGAGAGAAAGGAGAAACTATAGCAATGCTAAACAAAGCCGCCTGTGGGCACAGACTCCATTCCTAGTCAGAGAAATGGAGGAGCAGGGAAGAAAGCCGCAGAGCCCAGGTCCTCGGGCTCATGCCGCAGGCTGTCCACCACCTGCATCAGGTACACTGCCCTAATATACATGTGTACCAATACATGCATGTTACAGAACACATATGTAGACACGCAGGGACGTGCACTGACACACCCACGGACCCTGCCCGGCCTGCCAGTTCCCAGGCATAATCATGGCACCCGCGTTGTGCTGACCATGGTGGAGGTGACATCAGCTGCTCCTACCATGGGCTTGACACTCTAACTTACAAACAAGTAATGCCGCACAAAGGCTTCCTTTGTGCATGCCGAGGCTGCGGGGCTTCACCAATAATGGGAGCTGAAAGTGATTTATTTCCCTGGATTAAAGGTCAGCTCAGCAGAGCAACAGTGCAGACTTCTATTACCTCATTCATGTTGCCCTGAGCAAGGCAGGGGAAGGAGGGGAGAGCGAGCGAGAAAACGAGGAGGGGTGGGCCGAGACAGGCAGACAGAGGAGAGCGAGAGACAGATAAAGGGGAAGAGGAGGAATGAGAAAGAGGAAGAGAGGAAAAGGGGGAGAGGGAGAGGAACAGAGGAAGTACAGTCCTCTATGGGTAACCGTGCGCAGGCCAGAACATCTTCCAACAGCTGAGTGAACCAAAAGGTATCCATCCTTGCTAAGACTTAGCTGGGAAGCTGTAGGGTGAAGCTTTTTCTACAAGGGACATGCCCAACTCCAGGTCTGAATGTGAGAAATGGAGGCATTCTGCTGTTGAAAGTTTTGGGTGCATTCACGCTGGTCAGAGGCGAATACCCAAATGTGACGGCACTCCCTGAGTGTGGCACACAGCTGCTCTGAGTGACCCGTGTTTATGCCTCCATCAGCAAGTGCTTCAGGCCATGGCATCTCACAGCATCCTCTGGATGCTGCACACGGTGGACTGTGACTGTCATGCTGTGGGCAGGGCCCCGAGCTTCTTGGCAGGGTTTCCAATGGTGCTCCAGCAGAGGACATGCTCGGGGAGGCTGTTTGTGTGGCTATATCATGGCACCCGTGTTGTGCACACACCAACATGGAGCAGAGCTCCAGGGCCTGTACAACAGTGATCGGTGGTCACAGCAGGCACCTCGTGAGAGCCATATTTGAGGACAGCGCTGCAGTAAGCAGCAGGGCCCAACGACCCACCAGTCTCTTCCAGGCTATAGAGCACAGGGCCTGTGAAGTCACATGGCATGTCCTCCCGCCTGCCAGGGACGGGGTGTCTGATATCAAGCAGAAGAGCATGTGGAGAATGTCATGGGCTGGGCTTGGAGCTTTCATGATATGGAAAGAACATTAAGATCACCAGCTTAGGGTCCTTTTAACCTTACAATGGTGTGTGTGACAGATGCTCAGTAGAAACCATCCCCTGGCAGTTTCCTGGGCTGGTCATGAATGACAGACAGGCTCCTCACTAATGTTGTGAAGGTGAACTACAGCACATGGTCAGCTGTGACACCCAGCTGTGCTACCCAGCTGTGCTACCCAGCTGTGCTACGTGGAAGGCTGGTTGTAATCCCAGGCTTCCAATAGGACATGGCCCTGTTATATAGTCAAGGAACATCTGCACTTGGCCTTTGTCTGGGTTCGGGGCCCACAGCTCCCAAAACCTCTAGAATGGGTGGCATTGGTGGTATCTATCTTCCAGAAATCCACCAGAAATCCATGCTGATGATGCCACTCCTGCATGAGGTTGGTCACAGAGATTCCTGCCATGAGTTTTCTGCTCACCAGACCCCAGGGTCAGTGCTGGAGCTGGCTATGACTATCAGTCCCAACAGCAAGTTCTTTAGCCATGCCCACACAGTGAATCAGGTCAGCATGCTCAAGCCAGGATGCTTGAAGCTTCAGGAGGGAACCAGAGAGTCCACGTATCTTCCCGTTGGCCTTTCCCAAATGTTTACTTCATAATAAACAGAACCTCAACAAAACGTCCCCCGAGTTCTTTCTATGAGCTGATCTACATGCCATTTGACTGAACACGGCTATGGGAACCCCAGCTTCTAGGCAAACTGAACGGAGGGTATAGACCACCTGGGACTTGCTGCTAGTAATGATAGCTGTCTGATGTGGGGCTGCGTCTCTGGACGCAGTCAGGTCGAGACTATGGTCTCCCAGAGCTCAAGGGCCACAGTTTAACCCATCCATAAGCACTGGCTCCACAAGGCCTGGCCTGGCACTGGCACTGGCCTAGCTCACATGCATAGCTGCATTCCCTCTGCTGTCCATGTCTCTGCAGGGATGAGCTGGAGGACCCGTCCTTGATGTTTTTGCCTGAATCCAGCTAGGCCTTCCTTCCCCAATCTGCACTGTTGCCTGTGAACTGTAATGGCAAAAACACAGGTGTAGATGCCCACATGGACAGTCATCACAGACTGTGTGAGTTCTAACCATAAAGCTGGCCTCTGCTCAGCCGGATGCCAACTATGGAGCCTGAGGAAACACAGCTCTGAGACAAGGCACTGTGTGGCAGCCACCGGGGAGAGACCGCTCTACTCTGTCGGGAGGGCCTTCTCCCTATTATACCCTCTCGTCACAGCTCAGGTCAGTTGGGTCTGGCTCTGTTCCAAGGCCAGCCACCCCCAGCTCTGGCCTCCGTGCCAGCAGCCCCCTCTGATGCTGGGGTCCTGACAGGCACCCTCTGCTTCTCCTCAAGTACACTGTGCCATGCCTGGGCTAATCCTTAACCAGGAAGAATTGGGGTTGGGGGAATTTCTAGCATCTCTAGGCTACCTAGTGGCATGCCCTGTCCACTGGCCATGCATGGACAGAACAACAGTCTGTCAGCCTGACCCATAAGGTGAAGGGATCCCTTTCCCCACCTGGCCCATCATACTCCAAAGCAGCCATTAGGCTCAGGAGCCTTCACACCTGACCTTCACCAGTCAGAGTGCAGCAGTGGCCATGGGACGTCTACGGATGTGATGTGGTCCCTGCCTCATATGTGCTTGGCCAGGCCCTGGGGAAGGGGACAGGGAACTGAGATGCTTCAGCTCTTGAGTGGGCCCGGGTTTATAATGAGATGCATGATACAGGATGTACAGGCTCCAGCATGTGGTGGTTCTGCAGAACAGGTCTCACGTGGCTTTGTGTCAAGGAGACACTGATGCATCAGCTCCCCATGAACTCTGCATCCAGATAGTTCCTGGACCTGCCAGTGCTAACCTGCAGGTGACCTGTGTCCACAGCACTGACACCCACCATGCTGTGCGGGTGTGGGACCATCTTATTAAGATGCTGCTACCTGACAGATAGGGGAAGCCCAGGCTTCACTGACAGGCCTACCCTCTGTGCCACGGCCTGTATGTGCAAATAGCTCACTGCACACAGCCAGCCACTCATTCTAATGGCTGCTCTCCTGTCACTGCAAGGCTGAACATGCTTTCCTCTCTGGCACTTACAGAGGGTGGAAACCCCACCACAGGAAAGAGAAGATTGTGGGGTCCTTAGTCAAGCAGAGACAGGATTTCAGGGATAGATGGGAATGATAGCATGGGGACTCTCAAGACCTTAAAAAGTAAAGTCTAGACATCCTGGTTAACCACAAGCAGCCAGGGCATCCCTCCAGCTGATTGACAGCAATGAGCACACCAGAGGAGCAGCTGCACGGGTTAGTGTCTTCAGTGGTTAGAGGACGTAAGTGTCTAGACTCAGTACTAAAATATGACAAAGGTAGAGACTGGCACCCACAGCTCTCAATGGAGAGAAGGCAGTAACTAACTGCTAGTCTCCAGCAGTGGGCAGTGTGGGCTGGGGCAGGGAGAAGAAAGGAGTGTGAGACACATGCAGGATTTCCAGTTCTCCCGGCTTAGTGTGATGGGCAGATGGACACCACCACGGTGTCACATGCCCTTGGATTAATTTTCGGGATAAAACTGTTCCTGACCTCATCTCCAACACAAGTGCATGAGCATCTGTAAGGGCAGGCTGTTTTGAGGGACAGAGACCTGGGCCAAGGGTCCGCATTGCCCCGGTGCCTGGGATAATTGTCTTTGAGAGCCCAAGCACAGCAGAGGCTACATAGAATAGTCTCACCCTGAACCTGCAGGAGAGACAGCCAGAGCTGCAGCTCCTGGGATGGGGCCTAGCCTGGCCTAGAGGGAGGCCTGGGCAGAAAAAGGGAACCAGATAACCAGAGGAACCAACCCAGCAGGAGGAGACTCTCTATAAACCACCTGGTGACCCGCCCCCGGCCCAGAGGAAGGAGGGATGGAGGAACTTTTGAGAATAGCGCACAGCTTTGGCCACAGCCTGGTCCATGCTTACCTCATAGTGGAAGTCCATACAGGTCAGGTCCAGCCAGCACTTGTCCCCGCGGATCTTGATTAGGCCCTGCAGAGGCAAGACAGAGGACAGCATCAGTCATGGGCTAGTGGTTGAGATACAGGAACCCCAAACAGGATTCACTTCTGGGGATGAGAAGTGACCCATCCTCCAAGGCTAGGTTGCTGTGCTTCAAAGAATAAGGGAGGGGCCTCTTTCTGTGGGAAGTACTCCAGGAGGTAAAATCCAAACAGCTTTATGATAAGCACACGCAGGCTCCTCCTGAGGACCAAAAGCCAACATGCTCACAGCAGGACTGTCATCCTCTACACAGTCCGGGCCTGCGTTATTCTGGGATGGTATGTTGGGGATGGAACCCAGGACCTCGCCCATTTTAAGTAGCCACTAAACCGCACCCATGGACCATGCTGCACTTTCTTTAAAATCGTTCTTTGGGGAGTTAGGGGGTAGCTCACTTAGTAAAGCGCTTGCCGGACAAGCACAAGGGCCTGAGTTCAATGCTCATGACCCACATAAAAAGCTGGCAATAGTCGGGCGGTGGTGGCGCACGCCTTTAATCCCAGCACTCGGGAGGCAGAGCCAGGCGGATCTTTGTGAGTTCGAGGCCAGCCTGGGCTACCAAGTGAGTTCCAGGAAAAGGCGCAAAGCTACACAGAGAAACCCTGTCTCGAAAAACCAAAAAAAAAAAAAAAAGCTGGCAATGGTGGTGCACATTTGCATTCCCAGTGCTGGGGAGGTGGGACAGACAGACGCTGGCCTGCCAGTCTAGCCTACTTGGTGAGCTCCAAGCCAATGAGGGATCCTGTCTCAAAAGAGGTGGATTGCATCCTGAGGGTGACACTCAAGGTTGTCCTACGGCCTCCACATGTAGGCATGTGTGTGCAACCTCATGCACATATGCACCTACATGTACACGCGCGCACACACACACACACACACACACAAAAAAAAAAGAAAACGGGCTGAGGAGATGGTGAGTAAAGTGCTTATAGTACAAGCATTAGGATCTGAAACTGGATCCTCAACATCCACTAAAAACTCTGGATGCAGTGGTACCCATCTGTAAGGCCAACTCTGAGAGGCAAAGACAAGAGGATCCTGGAGGCTCACTGGCTAGCCAAGCTAATTGGTGGGCTACAGGTTCAGTAAGAGACGGTGTCTCAGAAAAATAAGGTGTAGTGTGATAGAAGATACCCATATCAGTTAGCATGTTTGAGTACCCCCTATCCCCCCACAATGCACCCCAACATATACCTATACACATACCACACACAAACAATACAACACTATCACAATAATGCAGTTATGTCTTTTTTTGTTTGTTTTTCGAGACAGGGTTTCTCTGTGTAGCTTTAGAGCCTGTCCTGGAACTCGCTCTATATAGCAGGCTGGCCTCGAACTCACAGAGATCTGCCTGGCTCTGCCTCCCGAGTGCTGGGATTAAAGGCGTGCGGCATCCTCAGTTGTCTTTAATGAAGGAGCTGCATCCAAAGGTAGAGACCTCACACTGCAGATACCCAGGATACCATCGAGGGAAGGCTAGTCAGCACCTCAGAAGGTTCAAAAGTTTCAGTGGGGGATGGAAGTGTGCTTCCCCATCACGTGGCTGCTCCTGCTGATGAGCAGTGTTGATGGGAAGCCCAGGCTCAGGCTGGCAGGGTCTCCCCATGAGCGGAACGTGCCCAGTCTGAGGATACTGAGCACTGGAGGGGGAAGTCTCCAGAGGAGCTCCTGTGACTCAGGTGAGACCTTAGGCAGAGCGGCTGGGAGTGGGAGGAGCAGCCAGCAGTGGTCCCCACAGCTCTGCCTCAGCCACCCCCACATCCTGCCTACACGTATTACCTGGGCCTGCCCACCGTCTCTCAGGAAAGCCAGGGTCAAGTGACTCGCTTGTAAACCAGGAGCAACTATCCCCGAAAGAACTAAAACCTTAGCTTGACACAGAGACTCAACTCCAATGTCTGTCATTTCCACACTTGCTGAGAGAGAAGGTGAGGAGACAGCCTCAGAGAAAATAACAGTCTTCTGAGATGATAGTTCCTGTACTCCAACTGTCCCTGGAAAGTTCCTTTGGTCCATCCACCACTATCCATCCATCTACCCATCACACATTTACACACCATCCATCCACCATCATCCACCCATCAACTGTTTATCCACCATCCATTTAACCCATCATCCATCTACCCACACACCATCCCTGCTCATTATCCACCTATCCACCCATCTACCCACTCATCCACTACCCACCCATCATCTATCCACACACCATTCACCTAATCACCCACCTATCAGCCACCAGTCCAAAATTCATCTACTCACCGGTCCACCCACCATCAATCTACCATAAGCTTGCAGACCTGAACTGAGTGCCAATGAGGTCTGGGTGGGCAAAGAAGAAGCCACATCCTAGTGCAGGAGGGAGAAGAGGGAGGTCCATCAGAGATGCAGAGAAGAAAGGCCAAAAGGGGTCTTAAGATGCTATGACAAAGTGGCAGATAAGTGACGTACAAAAAACCAGAAATTTATTTCTCAATCTGGGGATTGGAAATCCAAAGTGAAGAGGCCTATCAAGGGTCCACTTCAGAATCATAAACAACTAGCCTCCCATGATAGCTCACAGGGTGGAGAGATGGTGAAGGACTTGTCTGGGGACTCTTTTATCAGGGCACTTATAGCATTTACAATGGTGCCCTTCACAGAGAGATCAGGAGATATGAGGCCCCTGTTCACATCATCTCACCAGGGATCAGGATTTGTGCTTGCAAGTGGATGATGGGGTGACAGAGACAGCCTCGGGAGAGGGTGTGCTGGCTAGTTTTATGTCATCTTGACACAAGCTAGTATCATTTTGAAAAAGGCAACCTCAATTGAGAAAATTCCTTCACCAGGCTGGCCCATGGGTCAGCCCATGGTACACTTTCTTGGCTGATGATTGATGTGGGAAGGCCCAGATCACTGTGGTCAGTGCCATCCCTGGGTTGTTGGTCCTGGGTGCTCTAAGAAAGCAGGCTGAGCAAGCCATGAAGAGCAAGCCAGTGAGCAGCACTCCTCTGTAGCCTCTGCATTTATTCCTACCAACAGGTTCCCGCCTGGCTGGAGTTCCTACTCTGACTTCCCTTAGGGATGATAGACTGTTATCTCCAAGTGTAAGACGAAATAAACCCCCTCCTCCCCAGGCTGCTTTTGGTCATGGTGTTTTATCCCAGAAACTGAAACTAAGACAGTGGTATCCCTGGAGAGGCCCGGGACTGCCACCGAAGGAATGGGAGAGTGGCCTGGGGACGCCGGGATCGTAGGTGGGAGGCTTGCTAAGGACTCATGTGTCTAGAGCAGAGAGGAAAATGGGAGGTCAACATGGGGAGCCAGGAAGTCCCACAGAACCTAGACCAGGACATTGGTGGAGAGTGTGAGGCTCACTAGAGATAGCAGGTGGCATTTATTATGGCTGCTCAGAAAGCCCATGATCCATGGGGAGGCCACAAGGTTGGGTCACCAGACCTCTCAGCAAGGCTGGGGCTGCTGCCCACTAGCTGAATGGGTTAGTCTGGGCCTCCTAACAATCTTTCTAACAAAAGCTAGCACACTGAAATAAACAGCACCTTCCCAGACATGCTGAGATCAACACAAACAACCTTCTCACATGGGGAGGATGTGGGACAGCTGGGGATCTCAACAGGGACTGGTGGCACATGAGTTGCCTGTCCAGTCCTCTGGCTGCTTGTGGGGTCAGCAATGGCTACTGGAGCTACCCAAGCAAGGTAACCTGGGTAGGTGGGGTTGTGTGGGAAGAGAGACATATCTAATCCTAGACACACTCACAGAGGGAGCCCAGGAGGCAGGCTAATCAGCAGATCTGATATGAAGGCCAAAAGGGGCTGTGGCCACATAGAGATGCTGGCCTGAGCCCCCTTAAGAACAGTGTTCAAATGTAGCCACTGACACCCAGGAGACAGGGTGAGCTTAGCTCAGCACCTATGGGAACATGTGAGTGCTCACATGTGACACTACCTAACGGGTGCCTACTCGTGAAGTCTGGTTTTAGAGGGAGCACTCTGTTCAGAAGCAACGTCTCCAGGGTGTCACAGGCCCCAGAGGGCTCCCGCAATCCCGACACCACAGGGGAGCTGTGCGCACTGCAGGGAGCTGAACTGTGCACTGCCTCCTGGGAGCACTCTATTTAAAGACTCGCTGCATGAGTTACTCTGACAACCAAGTTACCTCTTGGGAAACAAAAACACTCAGGCTGTAAGCTCTGGGGGTGGCGTCCAGCGGAAGTCCCTGTCCTGTACGGCCATGGTCATAGGAACACAGTGCTGCCCGGTAGGTCTGTCTGTCTGATGCCTGACCACTCCCAGCTCTGCAAGGCTCAATTCTGTGTGTCCATCAAGTGGGACCACTGGCAGCTTCCAAAGCCCACGCCTACTGCGTGGGGAAGCGAGCGCCACCATCAGGGCTAACCTCGACGTCCATGAGCCGCACAATGCTCTGCATCCCTCAGAACCTGAGAGAGGGGGACTCTTTGGAGACTCACACCAGGAAAAGAAGAAAAAAACAAAATAATTAGAATGTCACTCAAACTCGAAGCTGAGATGAGACACTTAGAAACCTGAGGCGTTCTTCAGGAGCGGAGGGCGTTCGAGCTCCTCCCATCCACTCGCTCCTGCTGCAGATGTCAGACTTCCCACGGGTCTTTCTTTCAGAGTGTCAGAGGAACAAAGCCTTCTTTGAGCCTTTTTCAGCCCAAAATTAATTTAGGAAAAAAATGGCACAGACGGGCCTTAGCATGCCAGACCTAGAGGGAGCCGAGTGACCTTCAGTCTCCTATGACCCCCTTGCTTTCAGCCTGGGAAGGAGAACACCAAGATGCTGGAATGTTCCAGGCGGATGGAAGATACCTTGGCCTCACAGGGAGTGGGGATGAGTGTGTTCCTGTCCAGAGGATCCAGATCGCAATTCTGCTTCATAAAAACTCCTGCTTGGCAATGGAAACCACCATGCCGGAAGAGCCACAGCATGAATCTGCTTTGGATGCCTATTCTTCTGGC